AATTGCTCCTCACTTCCCCACTGAGCCAGGTTACTAGCAAGAGCACTTTGGGGTTTATACAGAACTCCTCCACAGCTTCACTGCTGGGCAACAAACTCATAGGACCAGGATGGGCACAGGAGGGTTTGGGGCTTTCTTCACACAGGTTGGCACAGGTTAAACATGTAAAGAGACCCAGGCACTACAGTACCCGAGGCGCCCGCTTCTCTGCAAGTTACCACTAGAAAATCCCCTCCTTGTTCCTCTGCTGTCCCATCTTTAAGCAGCTCAGGTTCACCCACCCGCCTGGCCCTACCTGGGATGCATCTTTGGAGTTCCTTCACCGAGGAGACCTCCCACCAAACCCAGCTGAAGAAAGGCTGCTGTATTTCAACAGCCCATTCCACCCACCGGCACAGATGATGAGGGTGCCTGGCAGGCAGATCTTCTTCCAATCCGCTGGGGCTGTAGTGGCTGCCTCTACGGAGGGGGACAGCATGGCCCTATATCTGGCCAGTTTGCTAGGGTTTGTACAAACTGAAAGTTTCCACTAGAAAGATCAGTGTCTTCAAGTCCATGAACCAAATCAAAGGTGGCTGTGAAAGCATGTCTGCTTGGACATCTCGCTAAACCAGGTGGTGTACTGGCAGAATCATAGAATCATTTAGGCTGGAAAAGACTTTTAAGATCATCAAGTCCAACTGTTAACGTAACACTGCCAAGTCCACCACTACACCACATCCCTGAGCACCACATCTAACCGCCTTTTAAGTATCTCCAGGGATGGTGACTCAGCCACTTCCCTGGGCAGCCTGTTCCAATGCCTGACAACCCTTTCGGTGAAGAAATTCTTCCTAATATTCAATCTAAACCTCCTCTGGTGCAACTTGAGACCATTTCCTCTTGTCCTATCACTCGTTATTTGGGACAAGAGGCCAATCCCCACCTCCCTACAACCTCCTTTCAGGTCGTTGTAGAGAGCGATCAGGTCCCCCCTCAGCCTCCTCTTCTCCAGGCTAAACCCCCCCAGCTCCCTCAGCCGCTCCCCATCAGACTTGTGCTCCAGACCCTTCACCACCTTCGTTGCCCTTCTCTGGACTCGCTCCAGCACCTCAAGGGCTTTCTTGTAGTGAGGGGCCCAGAACTGGACACAGCACTCGAGGTACGGCCTCACCAGTGCCGAGTACTGGGGGACGATCACTGCCCTGGTCCTGCTGGCCACACTATTCCTGACACAAGTCAGGATGCCGTTGGCCTTCGTGCCCACCTGGTCACACTGCTGGCTCATGTTCAGCCGGCTGTTGACCAGCACCCCTAGGTCCTTCTCCACCAGGCAGCTTTCCAGCCACTCTTCCTTATTTAACAGTTTCTCTATGTAATGGTTTTCCATGACAGAGGTTTAGCTTGTCTAGACAATTCCAAAAAAAGGTTCAAGACTGAAACCCCCCCGAAAAACCCAGTGTCCATCTCCAGCAATCACTGCTGGCCAGATTAGCAGCTTCTGCAAATCCTGGTTCTTCTTACCTACTTTCCTCCATCTATTTTACAGGACATCTGAGTGTCTCTGTCAGGGAGATGATTCCAGTGATGGAAAGGACACCCAAAGGTGGGTGTTGCAGCACCTCTGAAGCCCTTTGATGAAACAAATCCTCAAATTTCTGGGTGTGTATCTTCTCCCCTTCCAGTTGTTGCCTGCTGTATCTAATACATGTCACCTTTTCAGGACAGGGACTGTTTCTCCAGAGGTTAGTGCAGCACTTAGCACAACGAGCTAATGAGACTCATCTTTACTACTACAGGACAAATTGAAAATTTGCAAAACGGTGCTCTGAAGTGAACCAACCACGCCAAAATAAAAAGTAGAAATTTAAATTACACACACACACACAGATTTGTGTTTACAGATGCAGAACAGTAGCACTCCAAGACATCAGTGCAGGGTTAAATCCTCACTAGAATGAGATTAATGAAGAAGCTGGAGTCAAAATTGTCTTTGGAGCAGATAGACAACTTGAGTGGTCAATCTAAAGGCACTTTCAAACATTATTGTCAAAACCCTTATCTAGGAAAAATCATTAGCTTCATACTGCACTGCTGTCAATATAACACTCGAAACAATTCATTTTATATGGTTATCTTAGTATTACAAACAGAAAGACAGTTATTATGGGTCAGAGACACTTGATTCATATCCCCCATCATTTTTGGCCACCGAGGCCGACACTGCGGAAAGAGTCTGCCCTCAAAAGGCCAAATACCACAAATGCACCGAGCGGAGCTGGTGGGCTGCAGCCTGACGCCCTTGAGCACAGCAGCAGCTCTCCTCTGCATTCCCTTCCCCACCACCTCCTATTTACCATCACTTTCACCCTGATTCAACACTAGCAGTAACAATCAAGTGTAGACGGCCAAGGGAATATCAGAAAATCACTGTATCAGGCTGCGGACAGCCTAGTCATCAACTTCCCTCGCAATTCGGTTATTTAGCTTTAAAAACAAACATATTAAACAAGTGGAGGAACAAAGCACAGACTTCTCCATTTCCAGGACTCCTGCTGCTTAGCTGCATCACAGAGGTTCGCGTTGTCACTACAGACGCACAGAGGGAAGTGATGAAGTGCGCAACTGGAATAACTGATGGACACGGACATGAGCACAGTTCTCACAAAGGGTCTTGAAGCAATTACTTACAAAGGTGGCTCAAACAAGTGTGTAAAGCCTCACCCCCTTGCTATTACTTGTCTTACATTTCCTATTGTAAGGAAAGTACATTTTTTTTGTTATATGCTAGACTCCACAGTTATTTCAGATGAGGAAACCAGCAGAAGACGAGCAGGTAAACGTGCTCCTTGGCACAGACCAGCGCTGAAAGCAGTTTCACCGTTCACCACCTGCTGCCACCCTCTGAGAGCAGCCAAGGAACACCAACCATGCTCAAACAGAGCTGAATGTTACACAGGGAGCCTAGTCTATGTGGTAAGCCACGAGGCATGAGAATTACGGTAACTGGGGTTTGCAGGAATTCAAGGGGGTACATAACGCCCGAGGAGGTATGGCCTTAGGAAGCAGCTGGTCTCCATAGCAGGTCTCCACAGGAGAGCCATGCTCGGCACTTCTGCGGTGGTCGTAACGGCGAGATGTCAGCAGAAAGGGAAAACACCTGGACTTCCTTGCGTACAACCGGTGCTGTCCCAAAACAGGTTTTTCGCTACGGATGGACACATATCTGTAGCACTGGGATCTGTTTCAGCTGTCTGCAGGTGTGTGTGAGCACTGCAGGAGAGATCTGTAACGTCCCAGCTGAAAGGATCAAGAGGAAAAGGAAGGTGGAAGGTTGAACTAAAAACCATAAATAATTCAAATAATGAGGAAAAGAGAAAGACAATTTGAAGAGCAATGACCAGGTACCTTTTCCAAAGGGTGACACCATCTCAGTGCCAAAAGGCTGCTTGGACTCCAGTGAAGCACACACAAGACCATCAAGAGGCACATGAAGTATCCAGCAGTTTGTTAATTCCAGGCAACGCACACCGACCATCTCCCACGTTCTGCAAAGGGAGAGGCGGCTGTTTGTTTTGGTTTTGTTGTATTTGATAGGGTTAACAACCAAAATTCTGGGCTAAAATTGAAATGAGCAAACATTTTGTCAGGATTTCACCCAATTTCTCTCTAATTTACGTGGGCAGTAAGCTTTTATGATGTCCTTAGCTAGTCATACTTCTCTGGTTTTAAATATCTGGATTTTGTAAATATGTTCTTGGCAAACACAAAAGTGCCATGGGAACCATAACTGCTTTATAAAGTGATCTACTTTTGGATACTGCAACTGAACTGAGATGAAGGAAACCATAGAGTTTTTAGAACATTCAGTCGATGATTCACAACATCCAAATAATGCTCCTGATTCATCCTTTATGAAAACAGCCCAATTCAGCCTGGCACTACATGATTTTTCCCAGAAACTATTAAGACTTACTTTAAAACGACTGAAGGTGTTTTTATGGCATGACTCCAAATTTATATAGATTCTTACCACTAAAAGAAATTCCAAATATTTCCAGTTTTTACTCTTCCTCTCCAGATGTGAGATCTCAAAGGATATAACTCACACTAGTTTATGTCTGAAATTCAAGATGTACACACAAAGTACAAAACTAATGAAAAAAAAAATTCCTTAAACTTGCCCAGCAGATGCAGACCTGAGCAACTTCAGTTGTTGCTGAAACAGAACTGGAAATGGATTTTTAGTCAATCTTCTGCTTTCACGTGGAAGTTTTGTTGTGAAGTTTATAGACCAAAGACTGATGCTGGGAAAAAAGCCAGTGAGTGACTACCACGAACAAAAAGCAAGCAGTGCTTACCTCTCAAATCAAACAATATGCAAGAAAACACATTTATCCAAACTTAGTGGTGAAACATTAAGATTATATTAATTTATGAAGACCCAATCAACACTGGTAGCAACTTGTGTAAACTCTGCTTCTATTTTTTTTTTTTTAATTGCAGAATTATACATGAATGGAAGAAGTCCACTGCAAATGACAACACTTGACAGCTACTGACATGCTGAAGCATCCAAAGCATACAACGTCAGGAGAGGTAAGAGACAAACTGGTTTGGTTAACACAACTAAGTAAAGACTGTCAGATTGTGTCTTAGAGGTCTCTAATAAAAGTGTGTTAAATGAAGTATTTCTAAATTAATTTAACTTTTAAAAAATCCCAGAAAGTACCATTGCTTCTACAGCATCATACTGGAAGACATTTGCAGGCGGAATTACATTTAAACATGTTCCAGTTATACTCCCAAGGTGTCTACTGTCTATTTTTATAATATTCCTAGAAGGGATTCCATTCAAACCCTACGTCTGACGTCTCGCTTGGAAAATAGCACAAAGCCTTTTCTGGAGGTCCAGTAATCTATTCATGCCAGAAAGGGGTCGTTTTCATTTCCCACATCTAAGTACTGCAGCAAACCATGTGTGTGCATCATGTTACAGGAGAATGAACATTATTCCAAGCCCATCAGCTTCCAAATGTTTCTTTATTGTTTTCACAACTCAAAAAAAGGATAATTCATAGAGTCCTTGTCTTTGCGTTTGCCTTCAGCTCCCCTTTCAAAGGACAAAATCCCAAACATCTTCCCAAACAAGTACTCAGCCAGCTCTCCCCTCTCTAGCTGCTACTTGTTTTTCCTGCAGTAGTTCTTCCTCCTTCTTCTTGTGAAGCTTCAGAAGATATTCATCAGGTTCAATTCCTGCCTCCCTTAACTCTGACATGGCTTTCTCCAACCGGTGCAATGTTCGGGCACTCTGCACTTTTCGAGCAGTAATGTACAATGTAAATTCCTTGAAGCCCATCAGTTTACAGGTATCCACCTCACAGATATTTTTAACATCTTTGGTTTTGTCCACCTGGGGGAAGAAAACTAAACCTGACATTTTTTCCAGATCTTCAATATTTACTTGGAACTCAGGCAGCTGGTGACTGAAGCCTATGGGATTGTTTGGCACCACAAAAGCTCCCAGTACCAAGGGCTCTGTAGAAGTTCTGCTTCTTCTGGCAAGGATCACCTTGTACAGGTGGGATGGCACAGCTACATCATCCTTTCCGATTACCTGTCAAAGGGAAGGTTATGTTACAAATACAGATCTTATCATTTGGGGGTGGGAAGAGGTGAGATTAATCTTAGTACCTCTAAAAAAGAGCCACAGCACATAACTACACATCAAAATCATGCGCAATGTTATCAGACTAGAAGCTGAGGTGGAAAGCACCTGTATTGGTCGAGATGGAGTTAATCTTCCCCATAGTAGCCCTCATAGTGCTGTTCTTTGTATTGTTAGCTAGAAGGGTGTTAATCACACACCAGTGTTTTGGTTACTGCTGAGAAGTGCTCTCACAGCATCAACGCTGTCTCCCCCCGCCTCACCAGCAGGCTGGGGATAGGCAAGATCTTGGGAGGGGATATAGCCAGCACAGCTGACCCAAACTGACCAAAGGGACATTCCATACCACACGACGTCTGCTCAGCAATAAAAGCTAAGAGCAAGGAGGAGGCGGGGGGGGCATTTGTTATGATGACATTTGTCTTCCGGAGCAACCACTATGCATACTGAAGTCCGACTTCCCGAGAAGTGGCTGGACAGCGTCTGCTGATGGGAAGTAGAGAATAAATCTTTTGTTTCCCTTTGCTGCCGTGCGCGGCCTTTGCTTTTGCTTTATTAAACTGCCTTTATCTTGACCTGTAAGTTCTTTCCATTTTATTTTTTCCCCCTCAAATCCTGCTGAGGCGGGGAGTGACAGAGCAGCTTGGTGGGCACCTGGTACCCAGCCAAGGTCAACCCACCACAGCACCATTCCATTGCAGCTCCTTATATAGGGGGTCAGGAATGAGCTAGTTATTTGATGCCTGAACCTCTCTCTCAAACAGGAAAAGCAGGGCAAAGAACACTTCACTGAAGGGTTATTCGGCCACTGTTGGTAGGAAACTTTCCCAGAAGATTCTCCGTCTTTCTCCTATAACACCATTGATTTTATATTATACTGTTATGAGCAACAATGCGGACAAAAGGTCAAAATATTAGTTTTGCCTAAACTAATTGCCTAAATATTCGTAAAGATTTGTGACAAGGAGCTCTGCTAGAAGAAGGAACTCAACTTAAATCTCCCAAGCAGATGCAACTTCAGTTACGGCTGAAATGGAACTGGAATCAATCTGAAAAACACGTTTGGAAACAGGGAGTCAGCCAAGATCCCAGCTCCCTAATCCTGGCGCAGATCTGTAAGTGTAGCTTACTTGAAGGGATGGTAAGAGCTCCATTCTCATACTGCACCACACCGTTAATGCTTGGAAAGCTGTTTTCAGTAACAGTGGCTCTATGCTAAGTTCCCGACCTGACAGTTCCAAATCATGCATTTTTTAATACGCATTTCAAATCAACTCTAACTTACCTTCTGTCAGTTATTTTTTGTATCTCTATTACCTATACACAGATTGTATTTAAAAGCTACATTACCTAAGTAAGCGTTTTTTTGAGGGGACGTGGATATAAAGCATATTCAGTGACTCAGTATCTTGGAAGAGAAGTCTATCCAAAGAAAACGCACCTATTTCTTCCATAAATACACTATGATTCAACTTCAGAGCTTGTATATGTTGGGTTTACAGCTGTGTCACTCAGACCAGGATCCAGGAATTTAACCGAAGCACCAGGAGGTGAATTCACGTAAAATCCATTAAAAGCTCACACACATATGTATACAGTAGACATCCCACTCTGTCAGGAATAAGTCCAAGGGAATATACCTATTGATGATAAATGTAATCTCTCCAGTATTCAAAAAGTGATACTCAAGCATGCTGAATTGAGTGATACTCAATATTGCTGAATTGAATCTGCCATGCTAATAAAGTGTAACAGGCTCACATACGGAAAATCTGAGTTTTGCATAACCCTTCTGTATAACTACCCTTCTAAAATTTGTATTTTTATTGTAATGGCAACAGAGGAAAAAGATGCAGACGCCTTACAAAAATTACAAAGGCCTTATTTTATACATAAAATCCAGTAATTTGGTACTATTTCCAGTATTTGCAAGACCTGCAAAAGCAGACTGCTTGTTTTGATTTTTGACAGCTTTTGTTAGATGCAGTTAAAACACAATTTCAGAGAAAGCGAGTATTTATTTCACTGCCACAACCTATCACCTTAATAGAAAGTATTTTACAAACTAACCCCGTCTATCGGTTCGGACATGGTTTGTCCATTCACATATTCAGTATAACTCAGTCACAAAAAAAACACTTCCTATGCATGCTTTATTCTGAGAGTGTTCAGCACTTCTGCAAAAGAAAATACACTTTTAAAACTAAACTTTGCCTGTGGCTACTGAACCAAGGTTCATATCAGTCTATTCCAACAGTTAACTAATTTCAGTTACGAATTCTTTCAGTGCTTTTAGTGTATCTCCTACTTCTGTTGCCAGTTTTTTTTAAGTGGCTGGTCTTTAGGTCTTACTGGTTAGACCAAAACCAGAGAAAGCACCTTCAGGAGAAAGGGAAACCTCTGATAAAGTTATTTCATGTTTTGTGCAATAACATAGTAGTAACATTGCTACTGTCTCTGGCAAATACGTGCTCTTACATTTCTTTACTCTGTTATAGAATATTTCATTCCCTTCCCTAAACTATTTAATGGTTTTACTGTACTTTAAACTTTTTTTTTTTTTTCAAAAATGATCTTGCTTATGTCACCAACCTTCTCCTAAATAAAGCTCTGCCTAGACATCTAACAGTCATTGAAACTGGTAAGCAATAAATAAATGCCTTATGCCAAATCTACTTTCCCTTTCAATGATGACACATCTTGATAAGGAAATTAGAGCTCCTGAGTGTCAAAGCACTTTGCATTTAGCATTCAGCGTGGGTGAAACCAGAGTTACAGCTCCTCAGGATCAACGGCATAAGTAATCAAAACTGACTGATGCACACGTAATTTTAAAATATACTAAAAACTACACATCAGCACCCTGTTGTAACTGGTGGGTTAAAACTGAATTACAAAATGGTGTTAGGAGTTTAACCTATTTGAGATAGATGGTACTCAAACTGGGGAAGACATGCAACATACTGGGGGTGAGAGGCAGGGAGCCAAGAAGCATGAAAAGCTCTGAGGGGGAGAGGAGGGGGTTCTCATTTTCATATTCACCCAAGTGCATCCAGTTACTGACATTCTTGAAGGCCGAAGGCTGGAGTTTCTTTTAACCCCCCTGGGAGCTTGCAGAGCCTGCGCTGCAATCCCAGCTCTGACACACTCCTAGGGCAGGGTGGAAGAGAAGGAAGAGGCTGTGCAGAGCTGCGCTGCACCCCAAAGCTGCTGTAGCCTCCTGAGAGAAGGTAGTCGTGAGACTAAAGCCTGTTCCCCAGATTCCTGCTGGGCCAACAGTCTCCTGACCTGCAGTGTTCCTGTGCAGTACGGCCTGCGCTGCCTTTTCCAGGCCTCTTCACATACTTCTTCCCACTGTAAATACATGTATATGTACTAGGTCCTCCTTGGCTCGGCTCCCTCCCCTTCTCAACACCTCCCACACACATACACGTACCAGCATCCTCTGCTTGTTGTATAAAAGACTAGAGGAAGGGTGAACACGCAGATGGAGCTGCTACAACTATCTCCAATTAGGAGGTATACGGCATATGTAAAACAAACAGGTGAATGCATGTTGAGTGAGCTAGCAGAGGGAACAGGGGATTGATTCTGAGGACTGAGTGGGTGGACAGAAAGGCTGGGGAATGAATAGAGCTGCACATAGAATAGTTAGGTATGAAATGGAAATGCTGAATGCCTAAAGTGGGTGTTAAGGGAAAACAGACCCTGTGCTTATGTAATATTATGCAAATATATATATTCTATGAAAAATAACGCACATTTATGCATAGTATATGCACCTATGAAGGAGGGAAGGAAAGTAGGAAAGAAGGGCTAGTTCAAAATGAAGGAAGGGTTGGCCTTTTGAGAAATGTAGTGCTAAACACAACTCAACTCTATACAGGCAAAGGCCATATGTGTAATTTATGTACCACTTCAGTTCCACATAAGCTCTCTTTTGAGGATTTAACTAAAATTTAAGTAGTGCACAGGCTTTATACTAGTCCTCTGAACAGCAGTAAACTACTTCCGTAATTACTTCACTGAGTTCTAATACTGCTGAAGTGATTAAAACAAACTTCAGCCTGCCAAAGGGCTACCTTTCCTTACACAAAAGGAGGCATGAAAGTTCTATGCCCAGCTCATTCTGCTGGAGAAGAATACTATCAAAGGAGGGTGTCTGATTTCTCTGACAGTAACTAAGCGCAACAAAGAATACACTTTTTTTTTTCTGCAGTTTAACACTTCTGTGAACCATGCACAGGAAGTGTCACCCATAGCTTATGCAGCCAGCGTGACTCAACAATTTCCATTAAAAAAGGAAATGCAGTTCTGGAGTATGCCATAATACTTCCATCATTAAGCTCTGTAATATACCACAATTTGCTTTTTTAAAGGAGTAGATACAGAAGCTCCAGATGAATGTTTCCACAGAGCTGCTGCACACACACAGCTCAACAGTCAGGGAAAGAAGTGAAGTGTGATTCTGTAGAAGTGAAGTTCGCAACACAAGCAGTAGGTAAGAAAAACAAACTCAACAATTCATTTTCTATTGCCACCTAGAGGACTTTCATACCTAACTACAGCAGTCTGAATCACTATTCTGATCTGCCCCATCCCTTTTATCTCAATACATGTCTAACAGAGGCGGAGAGCATATGCTCCTATTGTAACAGAATAGAAAATGAGTTAAGATTATCCATGCACAGATGTTGACTTTGATTTGTGCTAGTCTATCCACAGGCAAGAGATGATCTTTCAGCAATCAATGCCTGAGACAGCTATCTGTCCCAGTCGGAGAAGAGCAGCAGTTTTTAATAGTATCTGTGATATAAAAAGAAAAAAAAAAAGTCTCAAGTGCTAATGTAAGCAAGAAAATACAGCAATGGTCTGTTGAAAATCACTGCTGTCCTACATACTTTCACACCATGTTGATAACAGGCTACAAGGTAAATTTTTGTGCAATC